GCTCCGATCACGAAGGACCTCGTCTTCAAGGGCTCGAAGAGCATCACGAGTCACCGGAAGGCGGTCGACCTGGTCGTCACGCCCGCCACCGAATCTTCTCGATGAGAACGGTGACGTCCACTATCACGTGGAATGTCTTGTGGGACGATGTCGTCACCAGGGTCAAACCCAATATCTGGTGAAGTGGTGGGAATATCCCGACTCCGAAAACATGTGGGAGTTTGGGGCGTCACTTCGGCAAGATTGCCCAGTCACTGTGAACCCTTTTGATCGGAATGATCATGACACCCCGCGCTTTCCGACAATAGCCAGGGAAGTAGAAGGGTCATGAGCTGAGCTCAAGCAGTGGCTCTGAGATCTTGCGGTCGCAGACACAGAGCTCGCGGGAGCGTTGGAGGTTGACCCATACGTCGCAGGGTGACAATCTGAAAGAAGCGACGACGTGCCACGAGTTCGGGAAACTCAAATCGGAGTTGTCGCTCCACACGCACGTCAGTTCCTTGTGGCTCAACTGTAAGTTATACAGTGAGGAAAGTTTTCGGTGCCGTTGCACCCATCGCTCAAAGATCGCTTCGTCATCTGCAGCGCTTTCGCCAGTGGCGAGCACTACAGGTATTGTTCGCATTGCGGGTACACGAGAGCCACCTCGTTGAGCCCGCAGGCGAGTGCGATAAGCTTCCAACGGAAATTCTTGTGTAACCAAGATACGAGCTCGAAGCGCTTTCCGTTTGGCAAGCTCATCTTCCGTAATGACCGGGGGTCCGATGATGTGGAAACGTAACGACCGAAATACCACATCCTTCGATTCCACAGAGGGATTCGCCGGGCGGAAGCCATATTCCACACAAGGGGCAATGACCGGCCGTGGATGGGCGCGCATCAGAGCCGCCTAACGGGCAGCTTCCAGCTGCCGCTTATGTGCCCCGTCAAGGTTATTGGTAATTACACCACGTCACTCAGGTGATTAGAGGTCAGAAAACGTCCATGGGGCCCGCAAGGCGTGTGCAGGGCTCGTCTCACGCCGCTGGCGTGGCTCGCCTTCCTCGTCATCCCACCCA